TATATATATACATTAGTAACTCACGCTGTCCCATTCTTCAAAAAAGCGCACTCGTCATCCCTTGAATAGGCCCCTCCCACTGATTAGCATAGACTTTGCATACAGTTTAAAGAAATGAAAACTGAAAAGCGTCAACAAAAGGAAAACTTAAATTTACGTTTTAATTTGAATTGTGTCACTATTATAGCGCTAACGTTAATAACAAGCTTTGTAACTCAAGCAGTCCCATCCATCAAAACCGCGCACTCGACGTCGCTTGAATAGGCCCCTCCCACTGATTAGCATAGGCTTTGCATACAGGGAAAAAAAAAAGAAAACTGAAAAGTGTCAATAAACAAAAAACTTCAATTTACGTTTTAATTTGAATTGTGTCACTATTATAGCGCTAACGTTAATAACAAGCTTTGCAAAAATTGTGCTTGCATTTCATTTTTTTGTTTGGCTTTTTAATTTAATATTGTCAATCTTAACACGAAAATGCAGTGAAAATTCATGGTTAAATCATCAATTTAATTTTATTTATCGATTTGATGGACAATGTGTTGTCACAGTAAAAATGTATTTAATTTTATGTTTTGTTTTATAAAATGCAAACACAATTTTTACAAAGCTTGAACAACCTCATGGAGATTTCGTGTAACTAATGGCTCTATGTCAGAGTTTGTGAGAGCTGTAAAGTGTAGAAGTTTATCCAGTATTGCTTCAACTCCAATCAAAATGAAATCGTGGTTGTCGGATATATCTGAAAACTTGTGTAATTCTGCAGCTACACTGTGTATGACCGCCATTTTTTCTGCAAATTTCAGCACCTCTCACTGATTAGCATAGGCTTTGCATACAGGTTGACGTTAAAAACGAAATCAAAAATGAAAACTGAAAAACCATCAAATAAAAGGAAAACTAAAATATACATTCAAATTTGAATTGTGTCACTATTATAGCGTGAACATTAATAACAAGCTTCGTAAAAATTGTGTTTGCATTTTGACTTTTTATTTTAATATTGTCAGTCTTGACGTAAAAATAAATTGTTAAATCGGCAATTTAATTTTATTTATCAATTTGACGGACAATGTGTTGTCACAATGAAAATGAAAACTAAATCATTTCATTTCATTTTTAATTTTGCCAGATATTTTGCGAACAGTGTTTTATAATGAAAGTGTTAATCTGGTTTTCATTTTAATTTCCAATGTTTATTTGATTTATTTTAAATTGGCAAGAATTACCTTCCATAGGGTACAACTTCTGAGAGAGCAAATAGTGAGTAAAAGTTAACATTTTCGTTTCACAACACCAAAAAAAGAGTTAAAGACCATCCCAATTACAAAAAAAGTCCTTTATTTCATTTGGATTCCAGTAAAGAACAGTTCCGGTATTTAGCTGTATAATGACATTACTGAAATTCCCTGGATGCTGTAAGAGTGATTCGCCAAGCCATTTAATGCACAGGGCTGAACATGACCTCCGTGACAAAACTGTTGTAAAGTGCACTGCTGAATTAAGCAACAAAGGGGAAAAAAACGCAGACTATCCATCTACTGAAAAACAGAGCAGTCTGACATCTAGTACAAAAATAAATGCTAAATACTTAGAGCGCCCGAGCACAAAAATATTATTTCACAGATAGGAACAGGAAATGATTACTGTTTTTAGCAGGGCCAACTATTAGTACCACCCACATCATGACATTCAGTTTGGACAGCGCGTTTTGATACTTTATTTCTTGTCATATCGTGTCGTCTTTACTTCCTCCCCCCCCAAACCCACATCC